AGACCTTGTTTTACTAACTGTTTTTAAAGATACTAATGTATAACTTTAAAATATGGGGGAGAGAAGGAATGAAAGAATACTGATAACACTTCCTCTGATAGGATTTTCCTCTCATCCTTATGTATTTAGATAAGTGGGTTCCTGTTCTTTAGCATGAAACAGGCTAGGTAATATTCCTAGCCTACAAGTTAGCATGTTTGCCCTCAGGTTTTACATACCCTTAACACAGTGTTTAATTAAAAACATTAAAAAAACCAGAACTGTTTCCTAGCAAATCAGCCATTCCACACAGTTGTATAGAACATGAGGAGCTATCTCAAAGTAATATCCCACATGCTTTATGAACCTGAAGTGAAGCTCCAGTACTCTTGACCAATAAACACTACAGTTTTGAGGCTTATTTAAATATAGACATATATAGAATTACTAGCAGATTAGGAAAGGTCATGATTAAATGCATTGGTATTCACTGAATAGGTTTTGTGGTATTTAGCAAATACTTTATGAATACCAATGAACTTTAGATACAAGTTTCTGTGAAAAGGCTTATTTAGATTCAGAGTCTTCCTTTCCTAACTCATTCTTCTTCATTTCTGGAATATCTAAAAGTAACTGATGCTGTGCAGGAAAGTATTTTGAGAAATTTTAGACAAAATAGTGATGCTGGAAGTGACATTTTTTGTCTTTAGACAACTTATTTTAGTTGGTTCCATCTGCTTGGGTTGTTTCTGACTGATTTCTAGCTTTTCTGGCTGTCTTTAAGGCAAAGAGAAAACAGGATCCATCTAAGACAGTTGTCTGGACATCATAATTCTATCTCCATTTGGTGTCTAATCCTATTAAGAAAATGGATATGAGTTTGGTGGTACAAAGGGCCAGCACCTGCTATTAATTGTATCCACCTTGGCAGGATATTGCTGTAGAGGAAGCCAGCACTGGAATATTTTTAGTTCTTTATTTAGGACCACGTGCCCAGGATCTTACACTTCTTATGAGAGGGCTTCACAGAACAGGTACTAGATCATAAAATCTATAGAATAAAGATCTTGAACTATGTTTTAAAGGCAAAGAGCAGTAGAAAATCCAGAATGCTTTGCTGGAATACCAAGACCCCCAGCTGCAAACTGCAGTTTCCCTTGTATATATTTTTGTTTTTTTCATTTTTTTTCAAAGAAAGACTCTGAATTCCTGTATCCTCTGATAATGCAGTTTCCCCCTGAAAACATTAAGAGACAAATCACCAGTTGTTTGGGATGCCTATATTGCTGAATACAAGCTTTCTTCCCTGCAGTCCCATTCCAAATAAAGCAGTTCCATAGCATTCTGCTTGCAATCTCCTTGGCGGTTTGGGAGAAAGGGAGCCCTTTTGGCCAGGAAACTGTTATCAGATTGTGTATTTGTTTATATTTTATATCATACTGTGAGATTAACTTTTTAATTTAAGTTCCAAATAACTGGTAACTTAAATAGCATGTACAGGTCCTCTTTCCTGATATGAAATCCATTGTAGGCAATGGCTGTGTCAGAACATTCAATAATATCTAAACAGAAAATTCCCTCCTTTAACAAAATTCATTGATTTTTACTCTTTATTTGTTTTATTTTGTTTCAGTGACAGTGGGCATGTCTGCATGTTCTTTAATGCACCAGAGTTACAGCACATTAAGTTTAGTACTTGGATAACCAAGTACTAAATCAATGTGCGGTGACACGCTACTGCGCAGTAGTGCTGGCGCAGGGGTTTTTAGTGACACTGTGCAGTAGTCTAATACTACTGTGTAGTAGTGTATTAGCAGTTTTTGCCTAGCACTTGACTACACGTTGCTATTAGCATCTCATGTAGCCCACTGTGCTCCAAATTATACCCAAAAACAAAAAGATGAAGTGACCATCCTAAACCTTCCAAAACTTCCCTAGTTTTTAAGGTTGCAGTTTCTCTCTGCCATTTGTCTTGAATTTGAAAAACTGGTCCAAGATGAGTGCCAGGCTGCATCTGTGGAGAGAGCATAACACAATGCCGCTACATGCCGTATGGCTGCAGCTATACTACTTCAAGCTTCAAAAGGTAGCCACAGGTTATTTCCTGAATTGGAAACAGCATAGCTGTATGAATGTGAGGCTGGACTTAGACTAGGCAGCTCTGCCTCAGAAGAACTGTACAGTGTTGTGTGGACACAGTTATGCTGTTTCTGGCTTGGGAGGTGGCTGTCACTAACTGGAAACAGTAGTGTTGTAAATGGACCTCTAGTTCTGAAGGTCTGTGGAGTATCTGGGACTGTGTCCTGAAGTTTACCCCTGGATGACTGGCCATTTAGCCTAAAGAGCTTATGTTATAAAACTAAAAATGTTAGGTTACATCTGTTTCAATTTAAGAATGTACAGTTGTACTTTTGAATACTAACTTTCCCACTGTGTTTACTACAGAAAACTAAGGAAGAGAAACACATGAGGAAGGCTTCTATTTTTTAATTTAAATCATTGTTGGATATAAAAACAGACTGTGCCAAATAGCGGTAGGTCCTGACAATTTCTCAGACAAAAGGAGCATTGATACTCAGCCTGAAAGGCCAGGGGAAAAAATCATGCATCTTTGAGTACATTCTGACACCAGACCCATGAGTACTCTTTCTATTTGACAGTTTTAACATCCTTTTTCATAAAACTAAACACTCCTGCTTTAAAATCATATTGCAAGTATTAATATCCCAAAAGCCCCATTGCAAATATTTATATTCCAAAATATTTCATACATAAATTAAATGGAATCTTTGTGGCATGGTATAAAACCAACTTAAAATTATATTAAACAGGATTACTAATACCGTGTATTATTAAAAAGAAATTTTTCACCATTTGTTTACACACTGAAATTCAGGCTGTGGTACTGGGTGAATCTGGATTGTTTTAAGTGACTTAAGTGCCTAAGAGGGGTTCAAGTGCCACTCAGATATCTTGGAGGCAAAGTAGGATGGGGTCCAATATGATTTTCTTTGCAAAAAGTTGTACAAAAACTTGAAATGTTTAATGTATTAGCATGGAGAAACTGCATCACCCTGGCAATTTGATAACAGCACAATATGTTTCCTTAAACCATTGCTTTGGCCCCAAACTTTTTCGATCACAGGAGTTGAAAAGACTGGGGATGCTTTGGGCCCAGCCCTGCAAAACTGGGAGTAATTCTTTTATATTTATGAAGCAATTTGCCACTGAACTACTAGGTGATCTTTGGAAAGTCATTTTTGTCATAGTTCTCCCATTTTACACATCTCTATGATGGTGACTGCCTTCAAAAACTGCTTGAGATCTGTAAATGAAAAGTGCAATATGAGAGCTAGGCAGGGGTGGCCCGGGACGGAGTGTGGTTGGGAAGGGCTGTAGCCACCCCAAAATTCACCTTGGCCCTCCCACCCCTTAGCCCCCCCTTCTAGTGCCGCCATTGCTGCCCACTAACCCCACGCAACTGAGCCCACCCCGTTCCTGTCCGCAGAGGCGTGGTGCTCCTGGCTCAGCCCCCCCACCAGGAACAGGCTGGCACCACCCCTGAAGCTAGGTAATATTATAGTTAGTTTTGTAGTAATTCTATCCATGTGAAACACCAAAACCAGCACCTATTATTTGACATGTTTTAAAGTCCAGTGCTTACATTAAGCCAAAAGTCCAGCCGGTGTCCGGATATATGTAATGTGTGTCATTGGCTGCATGGCCCTTATCTATTTGTGTCCTGTGGGACATCTGGAATTATACTGAATCTCAAGCTTTAAATTAAATAAGCTGTACCCAGTTTCAGGGTTAAAACTGAATGTTTTATACATGAACCAAAAATGCACCAAGGCAGTGCTGTTCTTCCTGAGTGTGCAGACAGCCTAGAACAAAAGCTGTGAATGCCTTACTGCCCCCAGTAATCTAATTCACTTAAATTGCTGGTGGTGATGCTTTAAACTTAAGAAGTAACTATTTTATTGCTGATTATTAGTATTGCAGATAGGACAGTGAATGATTGCCCCCAGGCAAAAAAAAGAACAAATTTGAGATTTTCTTGAGCCACAAAGACAAGGAAGGGAAAGGGAACTTAAAGGGAGAAAAGAAGGATAAGAACAAGAAAGGCAGAAAACACATGGTCCTTAAGATGACCTGTGAACATGTGCTTGCTGTGTCTCAGCATATCAATAAAAGATGAATATCAGTGAGGTACAGAATAATTAATACATAGCTAAAAGTTTCTGTCAAATGGTTTAAACCTGGGTGCTTAAAATTAGCTCTCTGAAAATTAGCACCTAACAGTTGGGTTTCTTAATTTTAGACACCCAGACTTTAGAAAAATGTTTTTATTTACTATATAAAGACTCACCTTTATGCAAATCTCCCATTGACCTCAGGGAAGATTTTCTGTGGATCTGCAGTAGTGTGTCATTTATACACAGCCAGTGAGTGGCCCAGATAGAATACAGGGCTTTGAGAACAGAGTCAACAGATACAATATGTGAAAGGACTACTAAAAGATTTCATCCTCTAAACGAAATATAATAGGGCCTCATAGGGTCTCTAAAGGAATATCTATGCTAAGAAGAATATCACAGGCTAAGAAATGTTTAATATCATTTAAAGTGATTTAAAGTAGCCATAACTATTTCTTCTGCTACATATGAAGGATAACCATTCTTCACATCACGTTAGATATTCCTCTAACATGACATTTGAAAAAATATTCTACTTTTGAAAATCCTAATTAACACAGAAATAACTAAACTGGCTTAGTACCTGGTACGTAAATCTTGCTTACTTCAGACGAGCTTCTTGCATGCAGTGTTTTGCTCCTTTCAAGTGTGGTGCTTAAGTGCTAGCATGAGACCTAGCCAGGCTGTAAAACTCTCCCTCAGCAGCTTGCTTATGCTTCCAAAGTTAACCTTTCTGCAAGGGGTTCTGCTGCCTATTTAAAGAATTCCATTTTTCCAGTTATCAAAATAACATTATATTAAGCGAGTCTTCTTTTTACCAATTAGGTCAAAGTCCTAAAATTTTAAGACCTAAACCACATGGTTTAGAGCGAACTGATTCACAAACCATAGGTGACTTTACTACAAGAAGAAAGGGTATGTACTTTAGCATTGCATGTTGTATGGAGCTTTGTAAAAATGTTTTTCTACAGGTTAAGCTCTCATAAGGCATTATCATGACTACTGTTGTAAGCTGAGACCATGGACACATTTTCCTTGAAAACCATTTTTTTTCCTATGCAAGGGGAAACATCCTTATATCCTTGTATTTAAAGCGGTACCAGAAATTACTGTATTTACCTGAAACCAAGATGACTTCAAATGTAAGATGACCCCCAATAATTAGATTCTGTGCATGAAAAATTTATAAATTTGTTATAATTTTCCATGTTTAGAACCTAATTATTGTAGGATCAATCTTAAATTTTCCCCTGACCCGACACCACTGCAGGGTGGCAAGCAATGGTAAGAGGAAGGCGGTAGGGGGGCAAGTGGCTGGGAAGTCAAAGTCAAAGTGGCTTGATCTATGGCCCTTGCCCCCCGGCCACTTGTCACCCTGCCAGCATGCCCCCTGCTGCTTCCCCTTCCTGCTGCCTAACCCCTGGTGCCTGCACCTCCCAGCTCCTGGCTTACCCCCTTCCAATCCTTGCAGCACTTCCCACCACTCTGGCTCTGGCCTGAGGCATGGAGCACATGCTGGTTCTGGCCCCGGCCGTGGGTGGAGCTGGAGCTAGGGCCGGAGCTGTCACATGCCACTGCCATGGTTGCTTGGCCAGGCAGGGACCAGAACCACCACGTGTTCGATGCCCTGGGCCAGAGAAGGACCAGAGCTGGAGACATGACTTGAGGGTAAGCAATGGCAGTGGGAAAGGGGCAGGTGGTGGGACAGAGGTGGAGGGGAGCAAGTGACAGAGGGGTTGGAGACTCTGACTGTAGGCCAGAGCCTGAGCCGCAGCAGCCGCCCACCTCCCACTTTGTACTCGAATCCAAGGTGAGGGAATTCTCCCCCGCCCCTTGGATTCAAGTAAATACAGTAATATACAAGCTTTGATCTGCTCATATTTTGGATTTAGTTTTGTATCTGTTTCTTTAGAAGTAAGTCTAAATGGCCTACCCATGTATCAATTCAAATAATTTATGGTTAAGAGCTAATGCTGATATTGCCATTTAATGTTTTCTTGCCATTGACTAAACAGTGAAGTGCAGCCAAAAAAATTGATCCTGTATATTAGTACAGTGATTTGTTTTATACTTCAAAAATAATCATTACAGTTGTAGAGTTTGACTGGCTTACGGTGTATGCTAACAGAGCTGGTCCCCTTCACAATCATATGGGTAATGAGAAATTTTAAATTGTCAAACATTTTATAACGGCACACTTGATCACCTTATAAGATGCACTTACAGCTAATCTAAAAACCTCTGAAGCTTATGCAAAAACTAGCTTCACGTGGCATTGGATCCGGCCCATGCTCATTTCTACTACAGAGTTGTACTTGGGCTATTGAGTGCAGTTGCCGTGATGTCTGTCCATTTATAAAGATATTTTTTGCAAATATCTAGTTGGTCTAATAAAAGATACCACCTCTGCCACAAGTGCTGGTTCCTTGTCCCTTTATAAAGCACATGAGCTGTGCTGGTATCTTCTAATGCCACTCATCCATACCATGGCATGACTTGCATAAACTCTGCTTCTGTCACCCTAACTCCTGTGGAATAACACCCCATTCCTTGTGTAGTCCTTTGGAAATAAATGATTTGAGAACCCTTTTAAAAAATCAGTAAGACTACCTGATGAATAAGGCACCAGGATATGTGAGTTAAGGTGGCAAAATCTGTTTCACCATAAATTACTCAAGTATACTAGTGCATCTTGTGTTTCAAATTGGCCACTCCTACAGCATTTCAGTTGCACTGAAGAGTAGTTAAGCGTGATTAATTCCAACACTTCCAACATGATGTGGTCCATAAAATTTAATTTAAATAAATAGTTACACTGAAATATAAGAAACCTGTTAAGATTAGTCCTTTATCTTAAAAGACTACCTCAAAGTATTGACAAATATATCAAATACAAGTTTTTCTCCCTTGCAAGAAAACTACCTTTTTTAATCGACTTTTTTGTCTTTCTCTTGTATGGTCATTTACTATGGATTTTACTGTGTATGAACTAGTTTTTATCTGTCTGAAATTTGTTCTCAGTAAACATTTTGATCTATAGAAATTGATCAGCTTCATCAATTCTTTTGTAGTTTATACTAAATGTTGTGTATTTTGTGGGGAGGAAAAGCATTAGATACTTTAGAATAATTACCTTCTCAAGTCTGACTATACATACTTCCCTAAGAGTCTTAAAAGAGTGAAACTGAGTTTTTGAAATGGTTACAAATACTTGTTTTACAACGTTTGGGGGCCTTTTTCCTATTTTGAATTCAATTATGCTTAATTTAACGTGTCATTAGGAAGGTGTGGTCCTACCCTGAAAACTGTATTTACAGTTACAGCTTTTTAAGAATCCTTTCATCTGATACTACTGAGGGAAATATGTTCCTTCTTCTTTTCAGTTAAGCACTGAAGAGAGCCGGAACACCTCTGACTCGTACCTCAAATTCTTTGACTAAATTCCAATTTCAGAGCTTGGTTCTGCCATCACTTTCACCCGCATGAGGGCACAACTGGGTCTGCAAAATATTTTCAGTACCAGAAGTCCATGAGAAAATATGTCAGACCTAGAGATGGCATACTGGCACTTTAAGAAAAGACAAACAACCAACCCCACCTTTTTACTTGTGAACTGAGCCCATACAATAAGTCGTAGCACAATATATGTAAAACATTCCTGTGTCGTATTCAAGTTCTCTTTTCAGAATAGAACTGCATATAAACGTGCTACTTCCAAATTCTTAAATTATAGTAGTTCCTGTTATTAGCAGGATTCTAATTATTTGGAAAACTTAAAAATATGGACAACATACAGTGGCTCAGAAATCTCTTTGAGAACTAAACAACTTTTAGTGATAAGTGTGGGTATTTTGGGTCTAACTGAGAAATCTTACTCGTTGGCAAATTATAAAACATATTTACCTGTAGACAGCATAATATTTCAAAAACTGATGAACTTGACTTTGTTTTGAAATATTCTGTACTTTAAAATTGTCTTTTTCTTATGTTAGTAAAACCAGCTCCACTAGAAATAAAACCTCTGCCTGAGTGGGAGGAATTACAAGCCCCTGTTAGATCTCCTATCACCAGAAGTTTTGCACGAGAGTAAGTCTCATAACTTTTCTTATTTTAGATTATTTGTTTTCTTTGAAGAGAGTGTTAATGAACATCTGTATGATCTTTCCTTTTTCTTAGCTTCTGTAGCAGAGACTTTCCTTTTGAAGTATGTATGCATGTGTGCCCATAAATATGTCAGCTGTATGTGTGTTTGTTGTACAGTGAAGTGTTTTGAATATAAAGAGCAGTGTATAACCGGAAAATGCAACTCTGGTAAACCTGATGTAAGAATTTAAACTCTAATATACTTATTTCTTTTTTGTTTACCAGGAGTTTTAAAATATTCAAGTTTTATTGTTTGTAAAATAATTCCTGGTAATTAGCTCCTCCAGGTTTCCTATGTCTCCCAGACCGGATTCAGTTCATAGCACAACTTCCAGCAGTGACTCGCACGACAGTGAAGAGAATTATGTTTCCATGAATCCCAATCAGTCCACTGAAGACCCAGTATGTAATATCTACATCTTAACTACTCTTCCGGTGCAGGCCTTACTTTTAAAACATGCAAACAAAAATCCTTTTTGTCAACCAACAGCCCTTTCTTTTCTTTTTTCTAGATACATACCTCAATGAATTAGAATGTTTGCTTTATTTTAATAGGGTATTATTAAGCAATTTAAGGCTAGAATTGCTCATTTAGTAAAAGGCCAGGTTAGTATGCATGGAACAAATCTGAAGACCTTTTGTTCAAAGTGTTTAAAATGTATTCTTTCCCAAGGACTTTCTTCTTTCTGTCATCTTTGCTTCTAAACTGTGTGTCAGGACAGTTGCACATTATCAGTAGGGAAAAAATTATGCTAGTATTCTTCAACTACATTTAAAGGCTTTTTAGAATGTAATTTTACAAGTTAACGTATTTCAAAGAAAAATGGAAAGAATGAGAATCATAGGAAATGTTTATTGATATTTCATGTTCAATTTTTCTATCTTTTATTTCTGATAGAGCTTTGTTTTTAAGAATTAGTTACAGTGTATAAATTTAGTTTAATTTTATTTAGAGTGTTGACTCTATTAGCTCTTGGTATGTTACTTATAATTATTCTTTGAAATGTATCTGAATAATGCATGAGTCTCACAAACAGAAACAATTTGCAGTAATATTTTAAAATAACATCATAGTAATAAAAAAATCCCGAGTTCTTACACAAAAACCTACTTCACAATGGCCCTTCACTTCGGGAAAGTTCATAGCTGTAGCCATAAATTTCAGCCTAGGCTTGTCTCTGTTTATCTGTTACAAGTTTTTACTGTTTAGAACCCTATTTAGTGGAGATTATAGTAAAAAAAAAAAATTCCAGACATTTTTCATCTTCAAAGCACTATAAAATTATTAACTAATTCTAGCAGTCCCATGAGGGAAATACGGGTAAGTAAGAAGTAATATCCCATTTTACAGGTGGAAAATTGAGATACTGAGATTATGAATTGGCTATGGCAACAAGTAAATAATTAGCAGAATTAGAAATTGAAAATTAGTATTACTGGGTGCCTCTACACATGCGAGTAATGCAAACAATAAACTCCAGAGCAGTTCAAGTTGGAGTAAACTGCTTCTGGGCACAGTGTCTACACGTGCACCCAAGACAGCAGCTATTGAGCCAGAGCAGAGTAGGCCTCTGGCTGATTGGGCTGACCATGCTCAACCTATGCCCCTGGTTAGTGTCTACCGGTGCATTCCAGTGCAGTGAATTACTCTGCCATAAAATAGTACTGTACCCAACAGTACTATCTTATGGAAGAGTTAATTAGTTTACTGCACCTTAATACCGATGCATGTGTAGATGGTGACACTTTACTGTGGAGCTAACAATTCTACTCCGCAGTAAATTGTAGTTGTAGATGCACCCTCTGTGTTCTTAAGATGCCACTTAAGAAAATTAATTTTAATCCTTAAATGATTTGTTTTAATACCATATCTAGATGAACTAGCCATTTATTCATATTTTCTGCTTTCTTGCATTTTTAATTTTCCCTGAGTGTGGTACAAAAATACATTTTGTTTTCATTTAACTAAATTTCAAGTTTTTGTTTTTAATAGACATTTCCTGCTTATCTGATCATATGTATAGGTCCTTTTCTATATTCAGAATAATATGTTTTCACTCTTTCCAGAAGCAGTGATAAAACTACAGCATTAATAATTTAAATATGAACTATACAAAAACAGAAACTTAAAAGAAAAACAATTTTCAAAGAACATCTTGACAAAGAAATCCAATATTAATTAACTCGGGTTTTCTTGTTTTTTGTTTTAAATTCCAACCATTTTTATGTTTTGTTTTATGTTGTCCCAACAGTGGAAAAAAAAAGAGTTGATGATACTGGAATAAAATGAAATTCAAAACAAACATGCAAACATAAAAACTGCATTTAACCCATTAAGCATTTTATTTCCCAGTAATCATGTAATGTCTATAAAGTTTCAGGTTCATTATTCTAAAATGCACTAATATTTCCTTGGAGGTTTGGGAAATAGCTGTGTTAACTTTCTCATCCTTTTCTGTCATCATCTTAAATATACTGCTCCCACCTGTCATATTTCAGTTTTATTTTGTAAAATGAGCAATGTTCAGGTTTTTCTTTCAAGTTGCTGTCAGCCGTACCCTTTCTGTCTTTCCTTCTGCCTTGCTCTTCATTTTTTGCTGACTGCTGCCCTCTGTCTTCCTTTTTTTCTTTATCTTTTAGAGAAGAGTCCTTCTATTGTACTGTTCCTATAACACCTGTTAAGAGGGAGGGATCAGAATGGGAGAGGACAGAGGAGGTGAGGTGGTAAAAATCTGGGCTGACTGAAAACTAGGTACATGCCATATGATTTAGTTCATGTCAGGTAGCCTTTCCCAAAGTTTCCCTGGTTATCTTAATCCTGAAGTTTTATCAGCTGAATAATAATTCCTTTTGACTTTTAAATTAACCGTGATAGTTTTTGAATGAAATGCAAAATCATCTTTCAAACTTTAACAATTTTAAAAGGCCAGGTGTTTCTCAAATGATTTGTATTACTAATATAATAAAATTCAAGAGTCTTCCTTTAAGTAATGTTAAACTTGAGACACAGTATGCCAGTCCAAAAATCCTTACTATGTCTTTAACTTACACTGTTGAAAGGGATGTATAGTGTAGGTGAAAGGCACAGCTGTTTTGGAGCATCTGCCTTAAATTGGTCTTTTGATTCTGTGTCCCAAACTTAACGCTAATTAAGCCTAACTTCTGTTTAGCATACTAGTTCATTAATGGCAAGTTATAAAATCTGCATTGCTTACCAGCTCTTTGACCAGTTCCCAAATCTTGTCTGTCGAGGCAGTTTTTAACAGGCATGGACATACTACTTCCATGTACATGTACTACTTAGAATTTTCATAGTTGCTGATTTGTATTTGTATTATAATTTCAGATTCTGTTTGCTAGCAACAGTCTTGATGGAGGAAGCAGTCCTATGGTAAAACCTAAAGGAGATAAACAAGTAGAATATTTAGATTTGGATCTAGATTCTGGAAAATCTACTCCACCTCGTAAGGTACACAAAATTTAAAACTTTAATTTTTTTTTTTTTTTTTTACAGTTGCTCTGATATTCAAAATGAAGGTGTCTTAAGGTTTGCTAGATTAGGTGTGATTCTTCTACTCGCTCCTCATGTCTCAGAAAGAAAGCCTACTCAGCAGCTTCACCTCCGCCTATGGTCAGTCATAGGCCATTGAGTGTGTGCTGCCATTCAAGGGATTTTTTGTGGAAGAGAATTGACTCTTCCCTGAGGAAGTTAGACCTATTCTAATATTCAGGAATATCCAACAGTCTTCTGTTCTTCCTCCTTCCCTGCCTCCAGTATAGGTGGAGGGCAGCAAAACACAGGTCCCCTGATAGTCTACTAAGGAATGAGCTGTCAGAGAGCCCCATAGGGACCCTGCTGTGCAAAATTTCACAGAAATTCGTGTTGTTAAAAGTTAGTGCTTCTCCATGACCACAGATGCTGACTTGTGGAATGGATATGAGATATTCTTGTTCCAGGTTTCTCTTGGGATTTTACACTGGTCTATGAGGGCATAAGATTTCCAAATGTCCAGGTAGCTAAGTTTCTTCATCTCTTAGAGCAAATTTAACTAAGCAAAACATCCTCTTGGAGGGTTCTTCCCCATAGCTCTTAAATATTATATACAGGCTCTCTCTCCTTTCCTGCAAAAGAAAACCCCAAGGAAACTAAAATCTTTAAAAGGTTATATTTGTATCAGGCTTTAAACACATACCACCCCAATGCTGGCTCTCCTCACATCTTTCAAATCTCAACTATGTTTTTCCAATATGAACAAAAATTGTGAGTTGTTCTCTGTGTTGCCTGCTATCTTGTTACAAAATCCAGGTTTTTATATGCAATGACTTTCAGCACTTAACTGTCCATTTGGATAGGTGAGATTATTTAAAAAGAAAATAATACTTTCACTGTCTGTCATACAGTATTACTTCCTTTAAAAAGACTGATTGGCCCTTATTAAATGCATAGCTCCGTTATAAATTAAATTGGCTATAATTTATTGTATATTTATTTTTATTTTCCTCCTTTTTCACTCTCCATTTCTTTTCCAGAAAAAAAGCAGTGGTTCCGGTAGCAGTGTGGCTGATGAAAGAGTGGATTACGTTGTGGTTGACCAGCAGAAAACACTAGCACTGAAGAGCACACGAGAAGCATGGACTGATGGGAGGCAGTCTACAGAATCTGAAACACCAAGTAAAAATGTAAAATGAAAATACAGCTTTTTCTTCATAGAACAAAAAAAGAGTGTCATTTGTCATTCTGCATTTTGAAGAAACACTGAACCACAACTGCAATTTTGCTTGACTGTATAGTACTTGACAGTTCACCGGTGTACAGCTTCCTACCTGAACAGGATGGGAGCTAAAGGACTCTTCATATACAGCAAAAATGTTAAGATCCTGTATTGTGCTCTGTGGCATCTGGATAACTCACAAAATGTAAATAGCTTGTAAAATAGTATTCCTGAGCTCCCAGAAACATTTTGTCTTGTACTTAACACATTTGTAGTATTATTAAGTTTATGCACTTTTTCAGTTACAGTGTTGGTTCAGGTATTCATAATTAGTGTACCGTAATGCCTAATTCATTTTGAGAATTTTTTATTACAGTACTATGCATTACAATTTTAGGTTAATTAAGCTACTTGTAGATATGGGAAATTAATGTTTGAACTTGATTTTAACAACTTAAAATTGATTTAGCAGAAATAGTTTCACAATTTAATAATCTACTTGAAATGGCAAGAGACGACCATTAGTTACATACTGTTTTATATTTAATACATGCAAGGAATCTTTGGAAGTCTACAGGTTACCTTCCTAACAAAAATTGCTGTGAGTTAATAATAATGAACTTTATTGGTTTTAGACCTAGAATTTTGGCTTATACATTAGTTGTTAGTGGTAGATCTTCTACTGTATTTTATTAATGACAGTGTTCTGTGTTCATTGGGTGAAGATTCTGCAGGGTAGGATCTTACACTTTTAAAGACTAAATAATTAAATATCAAGTAAGCCTGCAAACCACTGATGGCATGCAGTAATGTTGTGATCTCATACTTATTAACAAAAAAATAACCTTTATATTATTTACAGAAGGTAGAATATATAAATAATCAGGTACGTACTGAGCACTGTTGTGCTAATACTCTGATCAGGTTTAGACAATGAGCTTTAGTTTTGTACTATTTAGAAGTCCTACTTTTGGTTTTCAGTTTGAGATTAACAGGACAGTTTGACATTCGCTGTTTGTAGTACTAGCAAGATACTGTGATTTTGAATTGGACAGTAATTCAAATGGAAATACTATGTATTGACACCATAGTGCCCTTCCTATGATCTTTACTTTACTTAATCTCCTGCTTGGCCTTATATTTAAATCCCTATGCAACTGATATTTTATATCTCTGTTTTTCTAAAAATAGATACTATACCTGATCCCCTCATACACCATGTGTTGTTCTTTCCTGGTACAGGATTTAAAGCTTTATGTACTGTGATCCTTTCATTTTCACTATGCCAGTTTCAAATAATGGTCTGCCTTGGTTTAGAATTAATTTAGCTGTCAAGAAGCAAATAGAGGTCTTCAATTATGTAAATGATTTGTTAAATTTATTATGTCTGGATTGAAAATTTACTAACACTTTTTTACACAAATACCCTTGAGTAACTCTTGATGGATTTTGTTTTGTTTTCTTTGTTTTTGGTCCAGACTTTTAAAATGTTGAATGAGCATACAGATGTGTTTTGGTTTTTTGTTTTGTTTTTTTCTGGAATGCTGGCCTCAGTACGGTGCCTAACTTACAATATTTTCCCCCAATCTACAGTATGTAAATTGTCTCATTCTTAATAAGGGTTCTTTTTAAATTAGCAATATTTTGATGCTTTGAATGTTTTTTTTTTTTAAAAAAAACTAAACACAATGCATTTTGAGGTGAATTTTA